AACTGCCCTCGGCGGCAGTTCCTGGTGCCTTCACACACTGGCCCTCCGTGCTGGGAATGGCAGCTCCTAGCAATTCCAGGATCTGCAAATCAGGGAGAGTATTCCCTGTCCAGCCCTTTTTTTTTTTTTTTTTTTTTTTCCTGGAGAAGGGCAACTGATGCCTGCAAGTTGGTGTCTTTCCTGATAAACCTAAATCTCCTCCAGCCGGCCTGACTCTGCAACCACATTTTCTCCAAGTGAATGGCGGTATTTGGGCACTGCTTTCAGAGATCCTGGGACCACAACATACAAGTCATGGCTTGAGCTCAGCTTCTGTCATACAAGACAGTAAAGAGCAAAACCCGTCAGCCCATTTGCACTGTCAGTAATGACATGCCCCATCACACACACACACAAACACACAGCACCGAGACAGTGGGTATGTAAGAAGGCAGAGGAAATAGTGGCCCATGCCTCTGCACAGCTTTTCTGTAGCAACTGCATTGGCTTTAACTTGGTAACAAATTGTCCTGGAATTCTTGGCCTTGGAGCAAACATGTCAGCTCCGGGGTTACACCTTCGTCACTGTTCAAAGTATCACACGCTTTAACCTTCCTGCTCTTTCCATAGGCCTGGCTTTGTCCTGTCTCCAGGAAACATTATATGTTGCCTAAAATGAGCATCCCAGCAGGCTGCGGGGCACATGGCAGCTCAGGCCTCAGAATGTGGATCACCTCCTCGGGATCCACACCGCCAGACTCAGCCCCTGCGGAAACATGAGCCTAGCCACGTGGCTCACAGCTTTTTTAACTGCCACTGTCAGCACTGAGACACTTCCCCAGAGACTTCAATGAAATTGAAGAGTGATGCCAGAGGTGGCCTGGGGTATACACCTGTAACTCTAGCCCTTGGGAGGCTAAGGCAGGAGGATCATGAGTTCAAGGCCAACCTGAGCTACAGAGTGGGGTCAAACCCTGGATAAATTTCTCTTTACAGGAAATAGAGATTCAAGCAGGCCCCCAAGGCTCAACAAAGCCAAGGCCAGATATGATCTGCCCCTGGGCCTCAGGACTGCCACCTTACTAGATTATTCCCATGAGCCTTCATACTCAGAAAGCCAGGACATGCTCAAGGTAGGGCAGGAGTTTTGTCATTCAAAACCACAGCATACTGAAAAGAGCAAGGGGCAGAGCGATGCAATTAGTACGTAAAAATAAAGGCAGAAGTCGGACATGTGTGAATACGTGCAGAAGCCGGGGCAGGGGAAACTCAAGAAACTGGTGACACCATCTCTGGGAATAACTGAGCAGATGGGCTCGCAGCTTTGAACCATATGCATGTCGTAAAACTTTCTAAAACAAATTTTAAAAATTAATGCAATAAGCCTGGAGGTGGTGGTGCACTCTTTTACTCTGGAGGCAGAAGCAGGAGGATCTCCGAGTTGAAGGCCAGCCTGGTCTACAGAACAAGTTCCAGGACTGCCAGGGGCTACACAGAGAAAAATAAAAACAAAAATTAATGCAGTATGCTATAACTTAATTTTTTAAGGTATGTCCCTGGTGTGTGTGTGCATGTATGTGTGTGTACATATACATATATTATATACATATATAATACATATATGTACATATACATATATTATATGTATATAATATACATCATATAAATATATGTATATGTATATTATATGTATATGTACATGTATATAATATATGTATATTATATATATATATATATTTTTTTTTTCTTCCTTAAGGAGTAGTGGAGATATAGCCAATGGTAGAGCACTTGCCTAGAATGCCCAACGAATTAAGTTTAGTACCTAGACTTCCTGGCTAAATGTATGCGGGCAATGCTTGATCATTGTATGCACATACAAAAACACTTGAACAGAATAGTTAACGGGTTACTTCTAAACAGGTGAAAAAAGGACAGCTACATGGTGTCGGTAGCCTGTATCGTTTTGTTGACAAAGACTAGCACTGCTGCACTTGTTTTAAAGCCGCAAACCTCAGCTTCACTTCCATCAAGCGCTATGCTCCACGGTGCTGAGCCCTGAGTCCAGCCCCAGCCCATCTTGCTGCACGTTTGTATTCAAGCCTCCTCTGAAACGCGACCCTAAGCAATATCAACTGCAGTCTGCCCACACTCAGCCCCACTTCCTAGAACCTCCATGGAAAAGAACCCAAAAGGAATGAGACAACTAAATGGTAGCCAACCTACAGAACACGGGCAGATGATGGGCTGAAGAGTGACAATGACTCTACAAGGGTTAGTACAGAAATATACAATGGGAAGCCACAATGTAGTCAAAACTATCATGTGCTACACTCCCCAAATCATGGTGATTTCAGCAATCTGCATGTCAAATGGTGAGGATTTTACAAAATTTGCCTGGCAAAATGTTGGTCAGATTTCTTAGTAAAATCCAGGAAATTCTTTCTTTTCAAATTTATATTGGGAGATGTAAGTTTATGTGTAAACTAGTAAAAGATAAAAGGCATCAAGATCAACATGAAGATGGAACTCAGGGGCTGGGGCTCTGGCTTGGCTGAGCTGGTGTGGACGGCTCTTGCAGAAGACATGAGTTGTTACCAACACCCACCTGTAACTCCAGGTCCCACAGGGGCCCAACACCTCTGGCCTACACAGGCACCTGCACTCATACATACACAACTAAAATTGGGGTTTTTTTTCCAAAACTTAAAATTCAGTGTGAGGGCTAGAGAGATGGCTCAGAGGTTAAGAGCACTGGCTGCTCTTCCAGAGGTCCTAAGTTCAATTCCCAGCAACCACATGGTGGCTCACAACCATCTATAATAAGATCCAGTGTCTTCTTCTAGCGTGCAAGTGTATATGCAGATAGAACATTGTATACATAATAAATAAATAAAATATATATTTTTAAAAAAATTCAGTGTGAATTAGTTACATGTATAAAGTGTCCAGATACAGAAATTCTTTCATTTGTTTATTTTCTTGAAACACATTTTCACCTTGGCCTTGAACTCAGCACTTGCCTCTGGCCAAGTGCTGGGGTTAAAGGTGTGCCCACCAAGCCCAGCTTGAATGTATAAAGTTTTATCTCAGGGTATGTTCTTTGTTCAAGTTACCTTTGAGTGTGGAAAGAGGAAACTCCCAAGACAGCCTGAAGGATGAGGGAACCAGATGGCTGTGGCCCCTCCACCTTCCTCAGAAGGTCTAGGTGGAAACCTGGGTCATCAGTGCAGATGACCCAGGTCATCCTCGACAACAACCCAGTCCTCTCAGGATCATGGGGACATGACTGACGTGCCCACCTGTGCCCAGCGCCAGTGATGGTGAGAGCTGGCACAGCAGGAAGAACCACAGAGGACAGGCCTGGAGAAGGGACCAAGACTTGTGGGGTGAAAACACTGTGACCAGAAAAAAATGAAAGCTGCAAGAACTGAGAACAAAATCCCAGGACCAGGTAAAACTGGATTCTCCGCACCTCAAGGCAGATCCCTTTTGTTTGATCCATTCAGAGGGGCTGGAGCGGTGGCTCTGCTTAGGAGCACATACTGCTTTGGCAAAGAATCCCCACGCCAAGGAGGCTCAAGTGCAGCAGCTCCAGCTCCGTGGGATCTTTCAGTCCACCCCCAACCCGGGCACTAAAGAGTAAAATAAAAGCACTCAGAATCCAGTTGTGTTTACCATGTCTACAGCAAACTCAAGCACAAGCTACAGTCAGTTCCTTCCTGGACAGCTCCTCATCAGAAAGATCCCGGGCTCCCAGGCCACCCTGGCTGCTATCAGACAGGAAGCGCAGGCAAGCACCATTGTCTTGTCTTCCTGATTAAAGTACAAACAAGTGTTTTCTGTTACTTTCATCCTCACTAGATTAGCAGAGGCTGAACCAGTGCCAACCTGTGTGAATGCAGCACCGTACTGTGAAATGAACCAATGACAGATGATGAGAAAAAGCGGTGCTCTTTGCACTGTTTTGTGGGCTTCCAGGAGGAGATGGCCATCACACTGTAAGAAATGCTGTCTGATTCTGTCACCTTTGGCTCAATTTACAAAGGCTTGTAGAAAATAAATTTTTAAAGTGGTCACAGCACAGACAAAAAAACAAACAAACAAAAAAACCAAAAAACAAAAAGAAGAATATTAAAAAAAAAAAAAAAAATGGGCTTAATGTTACACACAATGCTGAGGACGTTTTTTGAAGATGACCTGGGATTAGTTCCCAGCACCCACATGGTGGCTCACAACCATCTGTAACTCCAGGGCATCTGACACCCTCCGGGTCCACGCAATCTGACAAACTCCTCAGACATCCATTGACACAAGGTATGCAAGAATTCCACATGCATACATACAGGTAAACTACAATTCAAATTCTAGGGCAGCAAGGGCTACACAGGGAAACCCTGTCTCAAAAACCCAAAAATATAAAATAAAGAAGTCTTGAGAGAGAAAAATAGACTACAGAAACTTCTGAAGTTGAAATACATGCATTTGCAGTAGGCAATAACTGTGAGCCTACAGACAGCCCCAGCGGAGCGCTCTCATTTGGATATCAAATATCTCCCCTATGCTGGTGTGTTTCTTGGTCCCTAGCCTGGCACTGCTTTGGAAGGTTTTGGCCTGTGAGGCCCAGCTAGTGTATTTAAGCCAACAGGGACCGACCCTTGAAGGTTACAGACCAGTCTTAGCTGGCAGCCTCAGCTGTGCTTTCTGTCAGACTGAACTTCGTCACCTCACCATCCCGAGGATGGACTGCATTCTCCGAAAACAGTGAGCACAAATAAAACCTTGCGACCTTTAAAGAGAAGGTCATTTCAAGCCAGGCTGGAAAACGTCGGCTGTGCCACTCCACTGTCAGCAGCAACAGTGAAGATCGTGCATCAACAGCAGCTTTGTAGGGTTTCTATGAGTCCACACAGTGTCCTCCTTGGTGCCGTCAGCAGGTTCCTTGCCTCACCGCTCGGGGCTCCTTCGTAAACTCTTCCTGAACAAAGAACCAATCTGACAAACTGGCAGCTGCTCGTTTACTCTGTGACTAAACCACAGCCTAGGACTTGACTGCCTTTATTTTTATGCTTACAATGCACATATAAAAGGGGTTGGGGAGATTAGGTAAAAAATTAGACTGTGCCAGAACAAATGTTTGAAATTCCAGCCAGAGATAAGACTAATAGCAAAAAGCCAACTAATGTCTGAAGGAAATAACTACAAGAAGTCTGATTAAAGCCTAAATGAGTTGTGTCTCATTAGCTTCAAAAGTTTGTGTGTAGAATGATCTTCACAAACACTGGCATCCACAGTTGTCAGGTACATTGCCACACATGGGTGGATAAGTCTGAGAGAGGGTTCTCTCCATGCCTGTGTGACGTAGAGAGCAGCTTCTACTGGAATCGAGTGGAGAACTTGGGAGACACAGGCACAGTCAGAGGCAGCTCGCTTGATTTCACCTCCACTGCTGAGTACTTGCGTATTGGATTTGCCTTGTGCACCTGCGGAGTAAGAAAAGAAAGTTATCACTGAGGGGGACGCCACAGAACTATGTGTAGAATTGTTTCCTTTTGTCTTTGAGAGAAAAATGGTTGGACAGGCTTATAGGTCCTAATTACAAATTTAAGGGGAAGAAAGGCACAGTAAAATGGAGGAGTGTGATGGCCAAACAGGTTTCTACTGTTGCTCACTGGGCCCCTCACTAAGAATTTCAAACTTCTCCCCAGTGTAACTTACTGGGGAGAAACAGGGCCTTGCTTAAGTGTAGCTCACAAAAGTCATAAGTTAAAATGTTGTGCCAGGGTCTAGAGAGATGGCTCAGCGGTTAAGAGTACTGATTGCTCTTCCAGAGGACCCAGGTTCAATTTTCACCACCCACACTGGTTCACGACCATCTGAAACTCCAGTTCCAGAGCATTTGACACCCTCTTCTGACCTGAGGGCACCGGGCACACACATGGCAGATATGCCTACATGCAAGCAAAACACTCATATGTATAAAATAATAAATAAATCATTAAAAAGTTAAAAATAAGTATAATAATGTCTTTCTAAAAGGGGATCTGCTGTCCTTTTCTGGTTCCTGTAGGCACTGCATGCAAGTGGTACACAGACATATAAGCACTCAAAATGCTCATATCTAAAGAAAGAAAAACACACTTTTTTTAATTGCCAGAGTGAAATTTTACACTTAGCTGATTGACAGTTAGTACTCAACAAAATCGCAGACCAAAACAAAAAGCAAAAGAACACTAATCAAGAAGGGCTGTGAGAGTGCAAGATCACTTCAGCACAGTGGCCAGCAGCACTGCGCTAATGGGCGTTGCCATGGGCCCACTCTGAGAAATGCTCTAGGAAACAGATTTATACTGGGAACAAACTCAATAGGCAGGTACCTGGGGGAAATAACCACGGAGAAGTGATGGCTGACTTTCAAAGTGAACCAAGAGAGACTGCACTGCTCGCTCACACCACTGTCATGTAGATGCTGACTTACCACATCAGCCCTTCTCCACCAGAAAACACAACAGAGACAACCCAGGGCTCATCGGTGCGAACGTGGCCCAATCAATTACCAGTTCTCTCCGAAGCCTGGCTAGCTCCTCCTTCTGCTGTTCCTCTTCTTGTTGCCTCACTTCCTCCAACTGCTGCATTTTCCAGGCCTCCATTTCAGCCATTTTCTTTTCCAGCTCCTGCCGTTCCTTGGCTCTCTTCTCAGTGGCCAGCTGAAAAGGTTCCTGAACTAGTGAACCAGAAAGGTTCTCTGAGCACAGAAACAGAGACAATATTGATGCACATGCAGTACATGTAAACCTAGCCCCCAGGACTAGGCCCAGCAGAAAGACATGGCTAGCAACTAGAAGCTACTGAGGAAGAAACATGGAGAAAAGCCGCAGCACGCGCCTTAGAATGCTGAGAGGTTGGAGAGGCCTCTGGAATCATTCAGTATCAAGGAGACAAGTGCGGTGAGGTAGCTTGCTCAACACCGCCTGCTGCTCTTCTACACAGGCACTTAAAGAAGACAGAAGAAGAGCCCCAACCTCCTGCCATGTTGCCCATTGCCTGAGAAACCAGTCTTTTTTGGATACAGAAAGAAATCCCAGTGCCCTCCCTCATCCACTTGCTCCCCTTTTGGCTGTGGATCACCTATGACTGTCACTGAAAGGCCAGTTGTGTGTGCCCAGCACACTTGACAACACTCAGGGGCGCTACGGGATCCAACAAAAGCAAAAGGCTGGTCTAAGGGAAGAAAGCGACCATGCCCTCAGATAAAGCATTTCTTGATGACAGAGCATTGTTCTGACACAACTATGTCCTAGCTTCCCCTGCAAAGTGTGACATTCTGTCCCAATCCCCAAGACTACACAGAATACTACCAGCAGCTGATTTCTTCTCTTTCTTGGGAACAAAGGGCTCTTGGAAGATGACAGTGTTTGGACGAGCCTTGAAGCAAGCTGCTTCCTTTTGCTGCTTCAGTTCTTCCTCCAGCTGTTAGAAGAAAGTCCGTCAGCCAGTAGCATACACTATGTCAGACTACTGTAGCAGTAACACATATCCTGAGGGTTCCAGACTGTCTAATAAGACAGAACGTTTCAACCCTTTACTTTTCGTAAATGAGTAGTCAGACCCAGAGGCTTGATTAAATCCTGGGTAGTTTTTGTCTTGAGGTGAGAGAGAGAACAGTGAGAGTGGCAAAATTACATAGCAATTATACCAACCTATAACCAATCATTTGTCTTTAATCTTCTATTATGATAAAGAGCAATTATATCACATATCATATTGAAAAAACAGCCTGTCTTATTGAGAACCAATTCTCCCATCCTGTTTCTTACAAAGCATCAACTTAAAGAAACAGATGAGATCCTACAGAAAGAAACTCCTGACTGAGAAGGTGTCTCATATTCCCCAAGTGACTGCTGAAGCAGACATGAGCAAAACTCAGCCTGCTGCCATATGCAACTTGAACTGATAATAGTCTCTACATGTTCAAAGGGTCAAATAAATCGAGAGGGGTAAGAAAATACTCGACAGAAGTTGTATGTAACCTATAAAATCTAAACCAAGTATTACCTGACCTTTTACAAAAAAAAACTAATGTGACTCCTGGTTTACAGTTTATAGACTACATTAAAATGATCCAATCTGTCATCCCGGATGATTTCAGTATAGATAGATTTACCTGCCCAATCTACCTAAAGGCCTGCCCACTCACCTTCCCACCCACCCACCAGCCAACCAGCTGCTCCCTATTCCTACCTGGTGCTTCCAAATCTCAGCTTTGTAGGCACCTCTCTTGTCCGTCTCCAAGGAGAAAGGCTCAGCTTGAGTCACATTCTTTACCTTTTTCTCTGGCAGATTAACAGTGTCAAAATGGGGCAGAGGAAGGGCCTTAAACTTGGGCACCTAATGGAGAAGCAAACATAAGAATAAAATAAGAAACTTTCATCAGTGGGGAGACAGGAAAACCTATCCCACAAAGAACATCAACAACTTCAGTGCCTCCCCACCTTCAAGTCTCTGAATAAAATAGGTTGATCACAGAAAATTATAGAGAATTCTTGCCAGACATGGCAATGCACACCTATAGCCCCCGATCTCCAGGAACTGATGAAGGTTCAGGAGCTCAATACACCTGCCTAGACTATATGGTGAGACAATGTCCCCAAAGACAAATGAAACAACAACAACAAAAGCCTCTTATCAAGTATGCTGGTAAGCATTTTGTCAACTTGACACAAGTCAGGGTTATCTTGGAAGATGAAACTTCAACTGAGAAAGCATGGCCAAACAAGCCCTTTCTTCCCAGGTTGCTTTTGGTTTTATCACAGTAACAGAAAGCAAACTGAGACAGAGATAAAGCAATATTTACTCCTGAGTATGTATATGAGCCTGAAAGACAAGGAGAGTAAACCAGTTTTCAAAGCAGAAAAACAATGGACCTTTTTAGAGCCAAGAGAAAAACCTAGGTTTTCCTAATGCTTCCCAAGCTGGCAGTCATAGCCTCCTTGTGCCAGAGAGATCACTTAAGTTACCTGCCCAATAAGTAACCTCATAGGGGGTCTTGCAGGCATCAGTGGAAAGCAACAATATTAATATTAATTTTATGTAAAAAGTATACATCTGTCTATAAAGTTAACTTTATATAGAACACTCCCTGAGTGAGGTGTGGTGATGCATGTTGTAATCCCAGTACCTGGAAGGAAGAGGCAGGAGGACAACCACAGATTCAAAGCCAGTCTGCTCTACACAGCAGGACACTGCTCAAACCAAACCAAACAAACAAACAAACAAATAGGGGAGAAAAAGGCTCCCTTTGGGGGGAATCAAAGAATAGTATTTTGCAAACTACACCTACCTCCCCCTTCTGCATTTCTTTTATTTTCTTCTCCTTCTGCAGCTGGCGCTCTTTGTCCCGGGTGTCAAAAGAGAAAGGGCACACCTCCACGTTTCTTGCCTCTGGGATGTGGGGCTTATAAGGCACCCCATAATGTGGCACAGGTTGAGCTTTTATCACTACTGGTTTATCCTCTTCCTAAGAGAGAAAGTACAGTTTAGAAACAAGACCCATTTCCCCACTGCTCACGCTCCTCAGAATGTGTACTCAGAAAACACTATATGGGATAAGCCACCAATTAATACAAGTCATTCAACTCTGGATATCCTAGCTTCCTTTTCTTTCAAAGAGACAATGCCAATTCAGTGACTGCGTCATGGGTCAAAGCAATGTAAAGCATTCAGTAAATGACTAACACAATTACTCCTTAAGATTTTCAAGTTTCTCATAGGAATGTTAGGATAACAAAATGAGATCAGACAGATAAAATGGAGGCCAGAAGAAAGGTACGAAGTAAGCATACTTACACCTTAGCCTCTGACTCAGACTCTAGACTCCACTAAAACATGTGACTGGAATTAATGGTTGCCAAACCCAGAATAGGACCAAGTAAGTTGTTTGGGTTCAAGCTAGTAACATAAGATTACCACGTATTTTAGTTCCAACTGAACCTATAAAAAGGTTTATGCTGAGATCTGCTATAAAATTACCCTAACTCTGGATATTTATAGATAAAATAGGAGCTGTAATAAGAAGCTAGCATGATCAATGACAGTTCACATTTTACAGTTCCATGAATCATCACCCTCTGTCACCTTTGTGACCCTTGGTTATCAAGGATAATACAATGTAACTGCTTAGCATGAATTTTAAACTTCCCTTACTGAACAGTGACAGTAACTCAGGAACCTCTTGACAATGTTACAAAGATAGCATGATGTCAATGCTCCAGGAACAGACAAACCTCTAATGGTTAACTTTCCCGCTCTTTTCCATAAGTTGTAACATGCAATCACTAGAAGCTAAGGGTCACACCTTACCAATTTTAGCGCTCTCAGAGGAACAAAACAGATGATCAAACATTCACATTATTCTTACACATAACTCCAAACCAGAGCTCATTGCCTCTGGGCCCCAGTAAGTGTAAAGAGTGGCAATGACTCAGATTGGTCTGCAGAAGAAAAAGGAGACTCCCTCCTCCCAGACATCACCTCTTCTCTAGTGGGTACTCGAATCCTGTTCTTTAGTGCAAAAACTGGTGACTTGGGGACAGTGGCTGGAATCACCTTCTTTTCAGGAACACCCTGGAAAGAACACACAACTCAATTAGACATCCCATAACAATTTCCATTATGCTACATGAAATATTAAAAACCAGGGTGTGAAGATAAAACACAGACAAGGGGCCACTTGCCAAACAAGCCTGACCCAAAGTTGTCCTCTGATCTCCACATAAGCATAGAAGAACTAACACTCTCATATAAACAGCACACACGTGTGCATGCACACACGCATGGACACATGCATAGACTCACGCATGCATGCACACAAGATCATGTGCCAAGACAATAGAAGCCTACACTGCCAGCACTGTCAAGACTCTAGAAGAAGCCCCACTCATAGAAATCAAAACTAACAAATATGTAAATCCCTTAAACAAAACCGTGTGGTATTTACATGTAACCTATGCACATCTTTCCATATATTTTATGTCATTAATATAATTCCTAACACAATGAAAATGTGTTGCATATACATATTATATCATATTTGTATAGGGAATATCAGTCAAAGGAAGAAGTCTGTACATGATCAGTGCAGATGCATGTCTTTCATCTATGGTTAGCTGAAGTCCCGGATGGAGAGCTCAGAATGGTAGCTAGTTATGCATGATACACTTTCCTGTGTTTTCTCAGATGCTCACCTCCCTGGCCTAGCCTGTGAGTGCTGCAGGAGTGGTATTGTTCTAGTCCATAAATCTCTGCACCTAGGTAGACCCTGAATTCCTCCTGAATACTGGGATTACAGCTGTCCGTAAGTCATGGCTTATGTGTACCTGGGACTGAGCCAGCATGCCGTGCACTATACAAGCATTCCCCCACCTTAGCTACAGCCCTTGGTTTCTCAAAGCCACTTTGTAGATCATGTAAAACACTGGTTTGATATCTACTTTTCTTGTTTTTGTTTTTTTTTAAAGACAGACTTTTATTATATAGACCAATCTGGCCTTCAACTCAGAGATCCACCTGTCTCTGCCTCATGAGGGCTGGGATTAAAAGTATGTGCCACCATGCCTGGCTGATATTGAATTTTACAAAATTATTTCTACCTCTATTATCTTGAACGTAGAAAACATGATTTTAAAAAAGTTTTAGTCACACTTTTGGGACTAGCTTCTAAAAGCTATTTAAGCCAGGCCTGGAGGCCTGCACCTATAATTACAGCATCCGGAGGGTGAACAAGAAGTCAGACTCCACCACACAACGAGCTCTAGGCCAGCTTAGCTAATGCGAATCTGTCCCAAACAAAATAGAAAAAGATGCAAACAAATTAACCTTTAAACATGAAGACTTGCTGCCATGAAGGGATCAGAAAGATGGTGCCTTGGTACCAGACAAACAGTTTCTCTACAGTGACAGTACTGCTGCCAGAGGATGCACCTCTACAGGACTACCGCAACAGGAATGCTCATCCACTGCCCACTTTAAAAGATTATTTTTCCAATGTGTATGAGTGTTTGCATGCATGTACATATGTGTACCATGTGCATGCCTGGTACCAGAGAAGGTCCAAGACGGTGTCAAATCCCCTGGGACTGGATACTATTTTTTTTTTTTAAGATTTATTTATTATGTATACAGTGTTCTGTCTGCACGTACACCTGCAGGCCAGAAGAGGTAATGAGGTATATTCCGTAACTCATTATAGATGAATGGTAGTGAGTCACCATGTGGTTGCTGGAAATTGAACTCAGCACCTTTGGAAGAGCAGCCAGTGCTCTTAACCTCTGAATCATCTCTCCAGTCCACCACAATTACTCTTAACCGCTGAGGCTTCTTTCTAGCTCCAAATTTTCTGTTTTCTAAAGACTGGTATCACTAACAAAGGAGACCCTGTCAGCAGACATAGTGAATGCACTTCCACAAGATTCTTACAACAAAATCTGCCATTGCTACATCCTGGACAGAAGGACAGCACCAAATCATGATGAACTGCACTAGGATTATGTGACATGGGAAGAACCAACCCAGAACCAGGGCTCTGCTCTAGCCCAACTCTGCATATGGACACACAATAGCCTCCAAGGCCAGGTTTCACAAATCCCACCAATCCCTGGGCTTACCGCCTTGAAACCCCACCAATCACTACCCTGAATTTCTGGAAAACTCCTCCCAAAGGAAACCTGTCTCTGGCTCAGTTCTTTGTAGCTTCTCACCGAGCAGAGGCAGTCACTTTCTTGTGTCTCTTCCAATAAACCTCTTGTGTGAGCTTTGTTGTGCAGTGACTCTGTAGTATTCCTAGGTTTCCGACTGTCAGAATACCTTTCCCTTCAGAACAGCAACACTTGTATAGGGAAGCCTTTCTCCTCAGCCATAACACTGACACACGGCACCTTCCAGAAGACCTGCTGGTGAGAGCATGTGGTCTGCTCTACCAGCCTGTAGCAGCTTGAGGACAGTGCCTGTCTTATTCCACCTTTAAGCTCCCAGTGTCTAGCACAGCCTGTAGACACATCAGCCTTGGCAGTAGAACATGAGGCTAGTTGCTTTTGGTTTAATGTGAGGAAACAGAATAAACAAAATCGTGCTCAGTGGTAATACATTACAGTTTTGTTCATAACTGACTCTAAAGCAAGCAAAGAAAAACATGACAAACAGTAAGCCAGGCACAGTGGCATGAATCTGCAGTCCCAGCAACCAGAAACTGATATAAGAACACCTCCGTAGCCTAGAAGTTTAAGACAAGTCTGAGCAACAAAGCAAGACCCCATCTCAAAGGAAACATTAATTATTTAACAGTGTACAGTTTGCTAGTTTATATTTTCTAAGATTTGAACATCTACAGAGCCTGGTTATATAAGCAAGGTTCTGAAAGCAATCTTACAGAAACTGAGGGATGATTCCATGTGAAAAAGGGACACATGTCAGTCATCATACACATCAACACAATGACAACATGAGGATGTCAGCCCTACTATACATCACCATATGCTGCCTCCTCCACATGGTGCTCTCCGAAGCTTCCCTCTTCTCAAGTTCTGCAGCCCTTTAAACCACACCTCTTTTCAGAACACATCTTCCTAACAGTCTGCATTATTAAACCACACATTGACTCTATCACTAGACTTAGAGACCAAAATCCAGTCCTGCTGCATCTCTTTGTCATCTCCAGCCCAATATGCTGCTGTCCTGCTCACAGTATCAACTGGAATATTTCTGGGTAGATACTCAGTCTCAGGCAGGACACTCTGCCAGCACCCAATACCTCAAGTATTCTTACCACAACATCTTCCAAGATCTTAGTAGGGCAAGGTCTGGAATGAAATTCAAAGTGCTCTTCCTCTGATTTTTTCTTTGCCTCTCGCTCCTGAATTCGTTTCTCAATTTCCAAATCAAAACCAATAGGTTGAGTAGGAGGCTTAACAGGCAGTCTCTTGGGCAAGATTGGGCCACTTTCAAAAATCCTGGCATCAAGTTCCTGTGCTTTGAATTTGTATCTGTAACAAGAAATTGAAGTAATAAACACAAAAGGCTTTGGTTGTTTGGTTGGTTTTTTTTTCAAGACAGGGTTTCTCTGTGTAGCCCTGGCCGTCCTAGACTTGCTTTGTAGACAAGAATACCCTCAAACTCACAGAGATCCACTGCCTCTGCTTCCCTGAGTGCTGGGATTTAAAGGCCTTTTAAATTAAATAAAAACTACACAAAGTAGAACAAAATCTAAGCATTAAGATGATCCACCATGTACAGCAAAATCTCTCCTTTTCATAACCATGTTCTTTGCCTCCTTAGGAAAAGAGTACATGATACAGTCTAAAATCCTCCTGGGCTGGGACTCCATGAGGGCAGGGACCTATAGTCCTAGCACTCAGCGGGCAGAAACAGGAGGGCCAGAAATTCAAATTTGGGGCTGGAGAGATGGCTCGGGTTAAAAGTACTGGCTGCTACTCCAGAAAAACTTCAATTCCCAATAACCACATGGTGGCTAACAGCCATCTGTAACTCCAGTTCCAAAGGATCCAATGTCCTCTTCTGGCTTCCAGGGGCACCAGGCATGCCAGTGGTACATAAACATTACATGGAAGCAAAACTCCCAGAAACATTAAAAACAAACAAACAAACAAACAAAGTCCTCTTTGGCTAATAGCAACTTTGAGACCAGCAAGGGCTACATGAAACACTGTAGTCTGGTGACATAGGTCTGTAATCCCAGCGATTTAAGAAAATCAAGATGTACTTGAGCTACAAAGCCATGCCAACCAACTGAGTGTGGCTCTAGTTGAAAACTAAAGTTTCAAAAATTAAAAAGGGGCTGGTGTTTAGCTTCACAGCACAGTGTTTGTCTTACACACAAAGAAGGGTACCACAATCGTCAGGAAGCTCTAGGAGACAAGATTTCAGTGCAGACACTAAGTTCTGGCTTCTTCCAAGAGTGAAGCTGTAGATCTCCTGAGAGTCGGGGAAAGGTAGGACTACCTAGACCAACCTTATCCTTAATTAGAATTCAAAGTTAGCTCTGTCCCCCAACCCCCCCCCCCCATTGCATTACATTGCACTGGATGTTTATCAGAGTATGCTCCAGGACCTCCATAGTCCCACTTTCAGTCAGACAGGAGCACAGCCTACAGAGCCACTAAATGCCACACATTTTTCATGGAAAGGTAAACAGTTACTGCTGCCGGTCTTCCCCTGAAACAACCAGTGGGACCTACTGTTGCAGTTTCTCAAGCTCCTCAGCTTCCTGCTCTGCTGTACTTTTGCACGTCACAGGCCTTGCACGGTATTTGGTTTGCAGTAGGGGAGTCTGAGGATCTCGTTTGATCTTGGTCACAGATTTGGGGGGTAAGAGGTCTATAAAACAAAATCACAGACATCTGCTTAGTTCCTTGAGATCCAAGTCACCTGGCCCAAGATCCAGGCCACCTGTAAGTCCTGACCCAACTATGTAGAAATGGAACCAGAGTAGCTGGCTTGGTACATTCAAGTCAGCTCATGCCAGTCAACCTGAAAGCTGTTCCCTCCCTCCCATCATTTTTATTAAGGACAGTCTTTGGGTAAATTCTTCTGCTATCTTCTGCACTCAAAATCTAACCATGTCTGATAGGGCCCTTGCCACTGCATAGGCCTTTCTATTAACAACAGCAACTGATTTGCTTGTTGTTGACAATGTTTTTATTGTAGTTTTAAGACAACAGACCTTTACAAACCAGTAATTCCCACCTGTATGAATTTCACAAAAACATTGTTTCAAAGTATCCAGGCCACTCACAGCAAGTAAAATGGTAAAGTCAGGCATGATGGTACATATCTGTAAACCTAGCATTTAGGAAACTAAGGCAGAAGGATCAGCAGTTTATTGCCAGGCTGCACTACACTTCAATTTTCAAAGTGACAGCAAACAGCGAGGAAAAGAAGGGGAAAATCAGATAGTGAAAACAGACAGTCAAAGTTAAAGAGTTAGAGACAAAGGGAGGGAGAACAACTATGTCAATGCATCATTATTTAGAGCAGTGGTTCTCCCTTCCTGCTGTGACCCTTTAACACAGTTCCTCATGTCATGCTGACCCAACCATAAGCTATTTTTGTTGCTACTTCATAACTGTAATTTTGCTACTGTTATTAATTATAATGTAAATATCTGTGTTTTCTGATGGCCTTAGGTGACCCCTGTAAAAGGGCTGTTTGACCCCAAAAGGAGTTGCAACATATAGGTTGAGAGTCGCTGGCTTAGAGCATTACAAACACTCACAGAAGGTATTGGTTTCCCTGATCAGTAACAAGCCTATCAATTTTCATATTACTCAAGAACGAATTCTCCTTAAATAACAGTGAGAAAAATTAATAATCTATTCATTCACTGGCTTCTCTTTTGAAACAGTGTCTGACTATGGCGCCTTGGCTAGTTAGAATCTTAATTCCTTGAGGATAAAAAGCTTCACTAGGAAGGGCTTTCCACTGTTGAACTTCTAAAGACATCGTGTCACTTAGAAAGGAACGGTGTGCCTGAGCAGCTACAGGGAGTGCCAGAATAGGGGAAACATTCCTCCTCATTGGAGGGGCACAGAGCCAGTAAGGTCTGTAAAAGACAGCTTAAAAAACAAAACAAAAAAACAATCACTATTTTCATAATAGACAATTAAAAGAAATACTGTTTTTAGGGAAAATGTAGCACACTGGTAGAGTGCTTGCCTAGCATGCCAGGGTCTTGAGGCAGAGTCCCATCAGTGCACAGAAAAGAGAAATACTGCATTTAAAGCAGCCCATGTGGCCACATAAGCAAAGTGCTAAACACTGCCTAACAGACAAGAAAATCTGTACATTCCTCAAAACAAATTCTGTTTTACCCAAAATACTAGCCATATTTGTTTTTGTTTTAAGACTGAGTCCTGTGCAGCCCAGGCGAGTCTCAGTGTAGTCTTAGACCACACCGGCCTTGAGCCTGTACCTCCAAAATGCTGATCTTACAAGCATGTACCACCAACCCAGCTTAGCCACAGTCTTCTCATAACTGAAGTTTACATTGTTTTCAGTCTTTAGATTTTCTTATCTTCTTGTAGAAATTACTTTTTTTTTTTTGGGGGGGGGAAAGGGGAAGTTTGAGACTTCTTTTTTTTTAAGATTGAGGTTTCTTTTTTTTTAAGATTTACTTATCTTTTATGTATGAGTGTTCCATCTGCATGTACACCTGCAAGAGGGCATCAGAACTCAGTATATATGGTTGTGAGCCACCATGTGGTTGCTGGGAATTGAACTCAGGACCTCTGGAAGAGCAGACAGTGCTCTTAACTACTGAGCCATCTCTCCAGCCCAGAAATTACTTTCATAAAGACAGAGACAATTAAAATCTCTTCATCTGTTCACCACCAAATCTATACAAACTTATCCTCACTCTCCTACTCCCTCTTTCAACAGTCTCCTGCTGTGCTGTGGATGGAGAAGAGACTCTGGCCAGCAAGGTACTGGCAGGAAACTTACTCTCATCTTTCTTGTTCCTCAGATGATATCTACTAGGGGTTCGTCTGTGGAAGGCTTCAACCTGCTGTGCAATGGGCACATATGTAGAAGCTGCTTCGTCAAATGTTCTTTTCTTTCCTTTGGACAGATTGAAAGGCTTAATAATAGTACATCCTTTAGTCACTCGGGCCTGTGAAGAAAAAAGTTGTTCGGCAAATTAAGTGAGATCTAGCACAGCCACATATTCAGCACAGGTGTGCAGTTACCAGCCCTTTATCATTTTTCTTCTTGTAAAAAATCTGGCTCTTAAGAGACTGTTTTGCAATAGAACATATGCAATTTTCCCCAAGTATATAAATGTTTTGAACCAATCAAGAGCAAGTTTTCTTAAAATGTAAAGGGAAAGGAAAGGAAAAACCAAACATACAAAATTGACATGGGCTGCTGGGCCTGCATCAGGTCAGACAGAAGCATAACTTAGCATCTCTCCACATACACCCTCAAACTGACTGATGAAAAAGCCTACCCCATTGTGTATCATTAATTTTTTTTAATCTTTTTTTTTTTTTTTTTTTTTTTAAGACAGGTCTCTCTGCACAGCCCTGGCTGGCCTAAAACTACTATGTATAGCAGGCAGCCTTGAACTCGTAAGAGATCCACCGCCTCTAGCTCCCCAAGAGCTAGGATTAAAAGTGTGCCCCACTATGCCTAGCCGGATCATTAATTTAAAACTGCTCTGAATAGAAGCAAAGCTCAAGGACAAAGAGGCTGCAACAAATTCAGGGTTTAAGGCTGACTCAAGACTAGCCAGAGTAGGACCTCAGTTCAAATAAAGGGCAATGATGACTACAGATGTGGAAAGCTCACTAGCTCCAGAACGCCACCTTAGGATCATCAGTGCTTCTGGTGGTGCTCTGCTAATAAAACTGGACCCATGTGGGCACCAGTCGTACACATGATCTATAGACATTCACGCTGACAAAACATACATAAGCATAAATAATTAATTAAAAGGAGGGGGTGCTGGAGAAGTGGATCAGTGGTTAAGAACACCTGCTGTTCCTCCAGAGGACCTGGGTTCAATTCCCAGCACCCACATCAGGTGGCTCAGAACTGCCTCTAACTCCAGCTATCCAGGTGGGGATCCTATTCTCTCTTCTGGCCTCCATCATCACCCACATATACAATGCATACATTCACAAGATACACAGGTATAAACATAAATAATAAAATGAAATAAAACTTTGCCTGAAGTCAGGAGTGGTGGTGCACATCCCATCCCATTATTGGGAGGCGAGGCCATCCTCAGGTACACAGTGAGTTTAAGGCAAGCCTTAATTTCGACCCCATCTTTAAAAAAGGGGGGGGGGCGGGGCGGGCTGGAGAGATGGCTCAGTGGTTAAGAACACTGTCTGCTCTTCCCAAGGACAGGGGTTCAATTCCCAGCACCCACATGGCAGCTCACATCTGTCTGTACCACCAATTCCAAGGGATCTGACACCTTCACACTAATGCACATAAAAGAAAAATTAAATAAATTTTTTTTTAAAAAAAGGCATGGGTCTACAATTAAAAGTGCCCACTACTCTTTTTTAAATTGGAAAAAAAAAAAAAAAAAAAAAGCAGATGGTAGCGGTGCATGCCTTTAATCCCAGCACTGGAGGAGACAGAAGCAGGCACAAACTCTGAGTTTGAGGCCAGTCTCAAATACAAAGTGGGTTCCAGGACATCCAGGGATACACAGAGAAAGGTCCTGGTTTCTGTAAGAAAGCATGCTGAGCAAAGTGTGGAGGCGCACACCTGTAATCCCAGCACTCAGGGAAGCAGAGGCAGCTGGATCTCATGAGTTCGAGGCCAGCCTGGTCTACAAAGCAAGCCCAGCCAAGGCTACACAGAAAAACCCTGTTTCGCAGCCGGTCCTGAAGATACCTGATAAAACAGGATCAGATGAATGGGGAGGAGGTCCCCCCTATCAGTGGACTTGGAAAGGGGCACGGTGGAGATGAGGGAGGGAGGGAGGGACTGGGAGGGAATGAGGGATTGGGAGGGAATGAGGGATTGGGACACGGCTGGGATACAGAGTGAATAAAATGTAACTGATAAGAAAAAAATTAAAAAAAAAAAATTAAAAAAAAAAAAAAAAGAAAAAAAATCACATTCTTCATGTCAGAGACAGCCCCTGTTCCCCTTACTAGGAAGCCCATTTGGAGACTGAGCTGCCACAGGCTACCTCTGTGCAGGGATTCTAGGTTATCTCTATGAATGGTCCTTGGTTGGAATATCAGTCTCAGAAAAGACCCCTAGGCCCAGATTTGGTGTGGGTGAGGGGGGCTGTCTCTAACATGAACTCATTGGCTAGCTCTTTGATCACCTCCCCTTGAGGGGGGAGCAGCCTTACCAGGCCACAGAGGAAGACAATGCACCCAGTCCTGATGAGACCTGATAGACTAGAGTCAGATGGAAGGGGAGGACCTCCCCTCTCAGTGGACTTGGAGAGGAGCATGGGAGGAGATGAAGGAGGGAGGAAGGGCAGGATTGGGAGGGGACAAGGGTGGGGCTACAGCTGGGATACAAAGTGAATAAATTGTAATTAATAAAATTATATTTCAAAAAAAATCACAAAAAAAAAAAAAAAAAAAAAGAAAAACCCTGTTTCAAAAAACCAAAAAGCAGCACCCCTCCACAGATCCTTGACCAGCTCCTGCCTCCACAGATCTGCCCTGCTTGGGTTCCTGTCCTGACTTCCTACAATGATCAACAGTGCCCTGGAAGTATAAGCTAGATGAACCCTATCCTCCCCAAGTTTCTTTGGTCATGATGTCTCATCACAGCAACAGTAACTGTAACTAAGACGGTCTGTATAATGTTATTTTGTGTATGTTTTCATGGCTGAACCTTTATATAAATTGGATAACCTGGTGTACTCTTCCAGGAAGACAGTTTCTCCAGTTGTCAGCATTCTTGAATTGTAGTTTTATGTTAGGCTTGAGGCCGCCTGACCTTTCCCTTACCCATGTTAACAGGTCTATTGTGGTTGTCCTTAATTAGTTCATGTTCAGGTCTTGTTTAGTTCATATTTAGGTGAGACTCTATGGTCGCACCTTCTGACTTTCTTGGGAGACACAATGTCACAGAAAACTCCCTGATCCAATTGGGGCTGGGGCAGACCTCTCATATTGTGTCCAGTTTTATTAGCAGAGCACCACCAGAAGCACTGATAATCGTAGGTCAACATTCTGGCACTTGTGAGCAGCTCACATTGTAGTCATCATTGTTTTTATTTGAGATGAGGTCCTACTTTCCACACCTGAGCCTGAGGTGTAGGAGAAGGCCTCTACAAATTTGCCACACATAATTTTATGTGCTTCGTGTTCCACATTTTTTTTTTTTTTTTACTTTTTTAAAAAAATTACATTTATATACTCTGTCTTCACACACACAAGAGAAAATCAGGTTCTATTACAGATGGTTGTGAGCCACCATGTGGTTGCTGGGAATTGAACTCAGGACCTCTAGAAGAGCAGTCAATACTCTTAACCACTAAGCCATCTCTCCAAACCTTCCACCTTAATTTTTATACCAACTTGGTAATATGCTTTCCCAGAGAAGTAATTGGTAACAGTCACAGAGTTCACCCATAATGTGTATCTATCTTGATTCAAAGAGTAAGCTTTCCTCCATCATCCAATTGTAAACAATGACCACACTACAGCTGAGTCCTGCTGAATTAATAATAAGAATACTGCTACTTACAGGAGATGAAGGATGCTTTCGAAGTTCAGACATGAAATTCACTTCCTTATACTCTTCCTGATTCTTGGGCTGTTGTTTGATTCGCTCATCTGTGAGGAAGTGAAAGTCAACTGTTTTGGTGACCTGGCTCGCAGATTTCTTCACAGGTTGCCCTGAGGAACAGAGTAAAACACACAGTTAGCATTGAGAACAGAGAACACTAACTAGTAAGCCCCTTTCCAACTCTAATCCTTTCTGTATTCCTATTACAGAGGATCTAGGTTTTATGTCTGAGTTCTATTGGGTTTGAAGGGCTTTGTTCAGATGCAAATGAGATAAGGAAGAAGAGCCCATCACTAGGCTGTAGTCTTTAAACAGCTCTGATAAAGCCATGACCTCACTTTTTTTTTTTTGAAAAGGTTTTGGAACCCAGGGACTCACAAATTCTAGTCAAACACTCTATACCACTCAATCCCTATAAACTGACTTTAAAGGCAAATGTCTTGCTCTTAAAGGAAATTTTAACTCAGAATCCCTAAGAGAGGACCCTATAAACTCCAAGATACTTTTCTATCCAGGAAGCAGGACTCTCTAGCTTTGGTGCCACCAATACCACTAAGCCAAAACAAAGCAAGCCTACAAGCTCTTCAGTTATACTTTTCCTTCCAGCTGCAATGGATGGAGCTCTTTTTAATCCTTTAGGATGAAAAGAAAATAACAAACTGGCCAGGCCAACTGTCATCTGTCTCAATCCTTTTGGCTAGCACATAAGCAAAGCATGCCCTGAGAAAGCACTAGTTTGGATAGTCCAGTGTAGAGGGTAACCCCTGAGAGGCAGATGAACCTACAGCCACCATTTTAAATAAAACACATTGCCTTACGCTGACTACTCAAACTGGTTGTTTTTGTTTTGTCCTTGCTCTAAAGACCTCAAAAAATGCTACTAAATTTCTAAGAAGCACCCTCATAGTTAAGACTCAACCAAGTGAGGCCCAATCAACCTGGCCCTGCGAGAGCAAGCTTCTTGAACTCTTCATTCTTTTTCCGCATCTCCACGACCTCCTGCTGCATTTTCATTCTTTTCTCCAACTCCTGCTCCTCAGTACTTTTTAGAACTTTCTGCCTAGAAATAAGAATCAGTAAAAGAGAGAAGGAAAAAGGTTCAATAATACAAAAAACTCTAAAGCTCCTGCATAGTTTCTGTGTATAACCTATGCTATCCATCAAAACCAAACAGGTATCTACCAGAAACAGATGTTGAATTAATTAGGTAACATTATGAAAAAAAAAAAATATGGGTACTTTACACTAGATATTATAAAACTTTCAGAGAACAATTGCAAAAAATAACTACACAAGACACTAAACATCACAAAAGACCCACACATTTGACCACACCAAGAATCAATTTTTTGTCACATGAAAAACTAAATTAAAAAACCAGAAGAGACACATTTAGAATTTTAGCACTTGGGAGGCTAAGGAAAGAGAATTCTGATTGAAGGCCAGTCTGGGTTTCCTAGATAGTTTCAGGCCCAGCAATGTAGGATAAATGAATGAATGAATGAATGAATGAATGAATGAATGAATTAAAAAAAAAAAGGCCCACAGTAGAATGCATAAAATAAACAAGGCTGCAGCTCAGGGTACAATGCATGCCTACCATGTTGAACTAGGCTTGATTCCCCAGGCTACCTACCTACCTACCTACCTACCTACCTTCCTCTCTCTCAATGGAGAAACAGGGAAGAGTTACTCTAAAATAGTATAATAGAGCAGACAGAAGTAAAGTCATTGAAGATCCCAACATCTCAGGTTCAAATACTAACATTTCATTTTATTATCTACCTATGAACTTGAATAAAGAATTTAGCCTATTTTTCTCCACTAAAATTACAGAATATGAATAGTTCTGCTCCTAGAATATAAGTGTTATGTAGACAGTGAAAGGCCTGACATATGGTGAAGCTCAACATGCCTATATCCTCAGCATCTGAGAGTCAAAGGTAGAAGGACCAAGAATTTAAGTTCATCAGCAGCTTCATAGCAAGTTCAAGACGAGCCTGTACTACCTAAGACTCTATCTTGAAAAACGAAGAAAAGAAAATTTAAAATAAAACTAGAGGAATAAGAATTTCAGAGCTCTATTGGATAGCATGGTGAACACAGGAATAATGTAATGTATTGAAAAAAAAAATCACTAGCCTGCAAAAATAGCAGAAGTTCAACCCTAGCACTCAGGGAAGCAGAGGCAGGTGAATCTCTGTGAGTTCAAGGCCAGCCTGGTCTATAAAGCAAGTCCAGGACAGCCAAGGTTATACAGAGAAACCCTGTCTTGAAAAAACAAAAACAAACAAACAAAAAAATCACTAAGACAATGATTCTCCAGTGTTCTCACTATAAGACAACGTTAAGAATCTGAGGCACAGGGGGTAGAGAGATGGCTCAGCAGTCAAGAGCATTTACTGCTCTTGCAGACACATGGGTTCAGTTTCTAGCATCTACATGGTGGCTCAACAACCATCCTTAACCTCCGTTCCAGGAGATCTGACACCATCTTCTAACCTCCATAGAACCAGTATAAATGTTGTGCATTGGGAAAATACTTATATATATAAATAGATACATCTAAAAAAGAAAGGAAAGAATCTAAGGTACTGGACATACTAGTTGGTTTGACTATTCCACAATCGCTGTTAGATTATAACATTACTTTGTACCACATAAAATATTATAAGCAGTCAATTTACCAAAATGATAAAAAGAGTTGGGTTTGGTGGTGCACACCTTTAATCTTAGTGCTAGGAAGGCAGAGGCAGAAAGATCCTAGTGTGAATACATCCTGGTCTACAGAGCAAGTTCCAGGACAGCCAGGGCTACATAGAAAAACTCTGGCTCAAAAAAACAAACAAACAAAAAAAGGTAATATTTTGATGGTTAAATACTGTTATCAACTAGATTTGAAGCAATTGAAAGTTATAAGGAGGCAGATGAGGGGCTCAGCATGCACCTTTGTAGGGAGCACTTAGAAACATATGCAAAGCTTAGTCTCCAGTGCTATACACACCAGCTGTGGTTCTGCATATCCACAATCCCAGCACTAGGGAGGTGGAGGCAAAAAGAGCAGAAGTTCCTAGGCTAGTGCAAGGTCAGAACAAAAAGGTGATGGCACTGCAAATATTTTTGTTTTTTAGAAATAAAACTGGCAGTAAATAGTCATAAACTATTATCTATTAAAACAAAAACAAGATTTTTGAGAAAAAACGGAAATAATCTCTTGGCGAGTGACTACAACTAAACTGCAAAGTTGATACCGACTAAAATCATGTACATTTACTGGGTAAAGGCAAAGAAGCTCAAGGAAGCCTGCCTGGCTAAGCCAGCGAGAACTCGCGCTAGTCGTGTCCTGGGCATGTTTTAAGCCAGCACCTTGTCTTCACTGCTTACCACCTCAGCACCCTTCGGTCACAGACAGCTTTTAAGAGTCTCCCAAATGGCAGCTGTGCCAGTTTGATTGAAGATGGACCCATCTGTAACTTGTTATACTTGCTCTAAAGCTTACTCCTGGGAAAGAAATTTACCTCGCAGGTAGAACACCAGACACAGCATGTCTGCCCTTGACTTTCTCCGGGCTTTCTCTTTCATTCTTTCTTGAAGTAGCTGGAACACTGCCCTCTTCCTCTTCCTCCGGTTTCTTTTTATGAGAACTTCAGTTCAAAATGAAGAAAACATACATAAATTTCAACTTCCTAAAGCACATCCTCCTTTTGGGGACTAATGACACTCGAACCACAAGGTTCTTCGATCACATCATCAGCTCATACACAGAACAGGTCAACCATGATAAAGCCCTCAGAGGTCAGGAGAGGCATCCAATGGTGTTTCAGAATGCACAGTGATTCATCAAGTCAACACACAGAAGGCAGTGGACAACCTTCCCGATAGCTACGATATCTGTTTCTTAGTACTTGGGAATCACAGCAATGTACCAGCTACAAGTACTGACTGTACTTGCTCCAGCAGCATCTGCTGCAACTGGGCAATCCAAGTGACAATCTGAACAACTAAAATAAAATTGAAGATAGAATTTCTGGGGAAGACCTCACTTTCCAGAATGAATGCCAGCCTGCTTCCTTTATAATATAATCTCTTGAACATGGATATGTCTAAAGATATAGCAGTTACCTTCTGATAATGAAGCTCAAGCAAAATGAAAAAATAGCAATAGCTAAGAATCTACCAAAGCCAGTGGCAAACCAGTTTTGAAGTTTATGTTAAGTACATAAACTATTTAGACACTTTAAGAGTATTCCTTGATGTGAAACACATCCTGGTTAAAAAATAATAATAAGCATGAACACCATACAGTCTGGTTGGTGTCTACCACTGAAGAACACTTGGAGACAAACCTGTAGACAAGTTGAGCACCTTCAAGAAAGGAGACAGGTAACAGCGTCCCTGACCATAGCAGGGCTTTGGAGTTTTCCAGTCTACAGGGAGAGCAAGCAGACTACAGATGGGCCCACTGGTAATTGTACTTTATAACTTACAACCCTCAGTCAGGAAAGAAACCCACCACGCAGGAGGCGGCCTCTTAAGGCAACAGTGAAAAGCCCTGTCTACTTACGCCTTCATTCTTTTGTTAGGCGGGCAGTCACCAGCAGAAGTAGTGCATCTCTTTGCTTTCATTCCAACAAGGGCAACATGGCTTTTTTCTTTCTGCTCCAAATTCTTCTGAGCAGAGAGTCTAACAGATCTTCTATGGTGGAATTGACATAATTTATCTTATGATGAATACATTTACTACAGATACGCAAATGTTCTTCAAACAATAAAAGTATGTCAACTACAAGGCCAATAAAATGTTTATTTTCTAGTAATCTAATTGTTATTTCCAACCATAAAATTCTGATATTCAAATATGCTGGTGGTTTATAAATTAGACCTCAATAAAACTGATTTTTAAAAACACCAACAAAAAAGACTAAAAAGGGTCATTCTATTATAATCTCAGCACTCAGCAAAGAGAGTAACCCTGGCCTGTGGTGGGTGGTGCATGCCTCTACTTCTAGTGCGTGAGGGCAGAGGAGCGTCAAGCATGGCGTCACACCCTACAGAGAAGCAGGCAGATCTCTGAGGTCAAGGCCAGATCTGGGTTTACTTCCTCAGGGAAGACATAAGGAACACAGAGAAAGTGGAAGAGTCAAAATTAAAATACAATCACAGCAAAAGGGAAATAAAACAACAAAAAAGACCCATGACCAGGAAACAAAGCAGTGTCAGATCTAACCTAATTAGTAATTATAACATAGTAATATACATACACTCAACATTTCAAGTAAAACAAAATTATCAGATCAGTTTTCTTCTTTAAAAGAAGATCCCAATAAGTGCCATCTACAAAAACTTTGGTTACTTTAAAAGCTGTCCACTGGGGACTGGAGAGAAGGCTCAGCTGTTAGGAGAACTGGTTATGTGCTGGAGAGATGGCTCAGGGGTTAAGAGCACACCGGCTGCTCTTCCAAAGGTCCTGAGTTCAATTTCTAGCAACCACAGGGTGGTTCACAACCATCTATAATGAGATCTGGTGCCCTCTTCAGGCATGAAGGCAGAATACTGTATACATAATAAATAAATAAAGTCTTTTTTTAAAAAAGAAAGAAAGAAAAGAACACTGGCTAATCTAATAGACGACCTACGTTCAATTCCCAGCACTCAAATGGCTCCTCACAACTGTCTGTAACTCAAATCCAGTGGATCTAACTCCCTCACACAGAAATACATATAATCCAAAAAACAAATGTACATTTAAAAAAAGTAAATTATAAATTACTTTTCGAAAAGCTGTCCATTAACATGAAAGGTAAGGATGGGGTGAGAGGTCAGATGACTCAGCGGACAGAAAAGCCTGTGTCCACGCCTGATACCTGACCTGACTTCTCCAACTACTATCCATGTACACAATGGCATACACACACACACACACACAAAATATATATAAATTGAATTTTAGAATTTTAAATAAGGACTGGTATGTAATTCCATAGTAGAAAATGTGCTTAGCACACATGAGATTGGTTTAAACTCTAGTACCATAAAATATTAAGCATGAATAATAAAAGGCAAAAAATAGAATAAAAGTAAAATAGAAGATATATACAAACATAACCACAAGAAAGCTTCAGCAATACTAAGAAACAAAGAAAGGTGTTTGAGGGCTGGAGAGATGGCTCAGTGGTTCGACTCCCAGCATCCAAATGAGGCTCACAACTGCCTACAACTCCAGTTCCAGGTCTGACACCCTTTGACCTCCACAAGCACTAGCAATGCACATGACACACATAAATAAATGCAAGCAAAACCCATACACATAAAGTAAAAATGAAATCTTTTAAGGAGAAAGGCAGTTGACATCAGAAAAACAACTCTAATCATACAAAGCTTTTGAAATCAGACCGACAACAAGTTTGAATCCTTGCTTTGAAATGAATGTGCCCTGGGTGCACTAAGTATGTATAACCACTAGCCATAAACTAAACCTGCAAGCTATAATCCATAAGCACGGAATGAGCATGAGGTACTGACACATGATCTGTGGAGTTCCTAGATCGTCTAAACAGCCTATAATACCCACTCTTGTGGCCTGACTCTTACCTCTGAGGCTGGACAGGAGTATTTCCTGCTATAGCCCGCTTAGCCTTCAGGGAAGAACAATCGTTTGATGGAATGGATTGTTTCTGAAGATTTTCCTTGTCTGTCTCATTATAGTAAGTGTTGTCAACTACGAGAGAACAAAAGCCTAGTCAGACTACTGCAGAAGTGTCCTGAAATACCCACTAATTAAAAGTTTAGCCAGGCAGTGGTGGCTCGTGGCATTAGTCCCAGTACTCAGGAGGCAGAGGAAAGAGGATCTCTGTGAGTTTAAGGCCAACCTAGTCTACAGAGTGAGTTCTAGGACAGCCAGGAATACAGAGAGAAACTCTGTCTCAAAAAACAAAAAGTTTAACTGGTAGGGCTGAAGAGATAGCTCAACAGTTAAAGACACTAGCTATTCTTCCAAAGGACCTGGGCTATATTCCCAGCACCCATGTGATGGCTCACAACGGTCCATAACTTCAATTTCAAGAAATCTGACATCTTCTGCCCTTTGAAGGCAGGATATACAGACATATATGCAAGCAAAACAACCACAGACATAAAATAAGATTTTTAAAAGTTGGAAGTTTAAATGGGTTTACCCTGTAAGAGGAGACAATCCCTCTCACAGATACCATAAGCTATCAGAGTAAAAGCACAGAGCCACATATATGTTACTTCTTTTCAAGTTTTTGTCAATGGGTTCTCTATAGATCCCGGCCAAAAACATATTCCAGGCTAGTGCCCTTGCTCTTAGCTTCCCTCCAGAACTTGATGCTAAACTAAGATCCTGTTGCCGAAGACACCACACACTGGAGTCCTAATACATGGAGAAACCAGCCAGTAGCACTAGTCCTACTACCTGGCTTTCACAATGCTGAAGCTGCATGTATACTCCAGGGCAAGTAATCAATAGTCTTTCTCAGATGTGACCACTGCCAGTTGCATTAACAAATGCGCTGGCAAGACATGCCTGCCATTGCAACAGTGACAGAAATATTATGAGAGTAACCAGCCACTTTCTGATTGGCCCACCCAGAAAATGGAATTCACTCCTGGCCCCATTAGTATGTCCAAGAACTTGTGGGGGGAGGTGACGGGTCCTCTGGGAGAGCCGACTACTGTTCTGCTAAGTGGGCACAGTACTAAACTGCCCCCAAGTACTTATCTTTACACCCACAGGTTAGTGCCTCACCCAAAACTCATCAGAGAAGCTTCTTTTTTTGCAGTAAATGGAAATTAACAGGGTCAAAACTGGTCAATATGTGGAGAATAAGAGACTGTAGACTGGTCAGATCTAAACAGGACCTCGCATCCACTACTTCTAAGGCTCAGGGATCACTACAGAGTAAGGGGGTGGAAAGCCGGAGGTAGTGGAAGATGATACAGGGACAGTATCTATGATATGACAGGGCAGTTGCACACAGGAACTCCTAGTAGCTAGGATTTTAGGCACCAACCAAGAACAAGATCAAGTCAGACAAAATCCCAGCATGGACGGAAATGAAGTTGCACCCCTAGCTGAGGAATTATTGACAGGACTATTGTCAGCTGATGGCTGCTGGGAGAGGGAAAGCCAGTTTTCTTCAGGGATGCTCGTCATGGTCCTATGCTGATGCACACACTGGCAGCACTAAGTGGACTCAGTAGTTTAAAAAAAATACATATAAAGCCAGGCATAGTGGCTCACGCTTTTAATCCCAGCACTAGGGAAGCAGAGGCCTGGTCTACAAAGTGAGTTCCAAGATAGCTAGGGCTATTACACAGAGAAACCCTGTCTCAAAAAAATAAAAATAAATAAATAAATAAAATAAAGAAATTGAGAGGAAATGGAAATAATGATGGGAGGGGTAGAGGAGAGGTTAGAAGGGATAGGAGATAGATTTGACTAAATTAATCATACGGGGCTGGAAGAGATGGCTTAGCAGTTAGGCACATTTGTTGTTCTTTGGGAGAACCTGAGTTTGATTCTTGGTACCAACTCGGTGATTCCAGTTCCAGGAATTCCAGCGACCTCTTCTGACCTTCATGGGTACACATACACATATGCAGGCAAAACCCATAAAAAAATGAATAATTCTAATATTTTAAAGGAAAGTATGCATGTATGAATTCAAGCAATAAATATTTTTAATTAAATTAATAGCTCTCCAAATGAGGAATAAAGCTAATCAGTACTCAATCTCAAGAAAAACAAACTATATACAAATATATGTATATATACATAAGTGTATGTGCATATCATGTATGTGTGTGTCAATACAGAACTTAAAATGAAAATCACACAAACACAAATATCATCATTCTTAAGCATGGAAACCTTAACTCAGCTAAAGTTATGCAGAAGGCCTGCTTATAAAACTACTTTGCCTATATTTCATATAAGCAGTTATCAAAGTATCATAATATCTCTTATAGGTAATTATGTATCAATTAAAAAACACTTTTTAGGTTGGCGATAGTGACCTAAAAAGGCCAGCCTGGGATACATAAAAACACTTTTTAGCTGGGATGTGGTGGCCCATGCTTTTAATCTCAGAACTTGGGAGGCAGAGGCAGGAGGATCTCTGTGAGTTTCAGGCCACCCTGGCCTACAGAGCCAGGGATATACAAAAAAACCCTGTCTTGAAAAATCAAAACCAAAAAGAAAGAGAAAGAGGGAGGGAGGGAGGGAGAGAGAGAGAGAGAGAGAAAGGAAGGAAGGAAGGAAGGAAGGAAGGAAGGAAGGAAGGAAGGAAGGAAGGAAGGAAGGAAG